AAAGGAATTTTAAGCGACTGTCATACAAGTGAGAGGTTTACCTAGCTATAAAACCAGGTTTAATCCACTATTTTCTATATAAGAAAATGCCTGTACCAAGTCAGGATTATGACAGTTGTCTATTCGTTTGATGTGTTTGAGCTTTTGATTTTGCCATTTGATTAGGGACTTTTCGTTTTGAGTTTTCCTCGGAGTTCGGTATATTTGTGATTTTACTTTTTATCATGATATTATTTTTTCTTGGATATAGTATACAGTGACACACTTGGCAAACTAATCGTCCATGATTGTTATTTTATGCTTATATCAACTTGTGATTGCTTTGTTGGTGATAATATCCATACTCTAACCCTGGACAAGTGATGGAGAAGAAGTCATCACTATTGGACACACTACATCGACCTGTTCTTAATTGCTTTTTGTTTGATGATGTCCTCATTTAACTTTCAGATTTTCTAGTCTTCATAAAAGAGAGGCGAAAGATACCAAATGGACATTCAAATTCATAAGTCGAATAATAAACTGACAACGCCATGACTAAAATAAAGAAAAAAGACCAACACTACACAAAACACAACATAGAAAACCAAAGACTGAGCAACTCGAACCCCACCAAAAACAGAGATGATTTCAGGTGCTCCGGAAGGGTAAGCAGATACTGCTCTACATGTATCGAGTTTTATTAAAGGTTTCCCATTGTTTCAATAAATCCAAACAGAGTAAGAATGAAAATCTCGACGGGAAATAATCACAGTGTTATATTTTTGAATGTAACATGTTTGGTTAATGTTATTGACATCCAGTAAGGATTTCCGTTCCAACTGTTGCTAGTTGATGTCTTGCATTTGCAGTGAGATGTGAGCTATTGATTCGTGTTGAAAGACTCCATGTGGTCTTTAAATGATCAATAGCAAAACAATCGCTGTGAATTTGGTTCAAATGCGTGTAGGGATTTTGTATTCAATCTTCAGATTTCGAGGAACAATACAAAGTGTACAAGAACATTAATGCACAAACCTAAAATGTTAAAATGAAATCGGGAAAACAAGGCATGTTGAATAGTTATATAAATGCACAAAACAACAAATTAGAAACAGTAGAAAATAAGGGACATCAGAGTAAGTTCGGCAAGGACGCTCCCTATTTGGCCTCGATTATTAAGTCCATTGGTTCAAATTTAAAAAGTGTTTGAAGTTGGTGAAAAAAAAACAACAGTAAGAAAGTAAAATAGAACTACTTGTGTCTAGCTTTTAGTATGAAGCGTTGATGTCTACTTTCCTAATAGGCCATTGTTGGAATTTAACGCTTCTTTCGGCACTACTCACTTTATATTGGAGGCCAGTTTGTATAGAGGAGGAGGCTTGCGTGCCCGGCCTGAACCACCGACGTCGACGTATACACTGTGTGTTTCCTGTCATAAAACCATCGGGAATTGACCTGTTTTCATTGAATGTCAGGGAAAACCAAAAATGTTCTAATTGTGACATAATAAAGGGGAACGTTAATTCGTAAATTTTCCACATATCTACTCATTGTTTTAGTAATTATTCATTATTATGCCAGTCAATTAATCCTTATTTGAAATAGGGGCCGTTTTGGGGCCTATTCGAACCTACTCCTTTGATATAAAAAGTAAAATAACAAAAATACCGAACTCCAAAGGATATTCACTAAATACACTGCAACGTTAGGAGCTATATAATCAAACAGATCCCACACGTTAGGAGCTATATAATCAAACAGATCCCACACGTTAGGAGCTATATAATCAAACAGATCCCACACGTTAGGAGCTATATAATCAAACAGATCCCACACGTTAGGAGCTATATAATCAAACAGACCCTAAACAGAATACCCAAATTCAGCTAAGGTTTACTTTGACTGAGGGATTTAAAACAACAGTTTAAAAGACAAATCTTAATTTTTTAACGCAAAATTGTAAGAGAGAAGCGTAAGATACCAAAACAGATATTCCAAATCATAAGTCGAAAAAGAAGTGAAAATGCCATGGCAAAAACACAAAACAAACACACGAACAAAAGAGAAACAACAGTATACAAAGCAAAAACATAGAAAACTAAAGACTAAGCAACACGAACCCCATCAAAAACCGGGGTGATATCATGGATAGAAGTACAGTAAAACCTGTCTAAACCGAACGTCTTCGGGACTTAATATTTTGTTAGGTTTTAGCAGATGTTTAGTTTAATCAGATTCACAACGCATAACATCTGATATGTATGGACTTAAGAGCATCTTTTGTTTAGACAGGATTTGGGTTTATGCAAGATTCGGTTAAGACAGGTTTCACTGTATATGTAATAAATTATGTCAGTACAGAAGCACTGACTATTGAGCTGATGATACCCTCGGTGACAATCATTACACCACGATCGGTATCAATTCAGTGCTAGCGAAGAAAACAAACACTTTACAATTTCGTGGGTGCAACCGAAGCGCTTTTCTCCATTTACCTTCATCAAGATTGAATAAACTTTAAAGATTAAAAAACATGCACAGGCAAGAAACAACAAAATTAATCTAGAGAAAATAGGTTGGTACATTCTTTTGAAAACCAAAATTTACTTAAAGTTAATTCAAAACTAGGAAAATCAAGAAATTGTAAATCATTAAATGTAATCTTTGTTTTTATTTTGATTTCAAAGGCATGAACGTAGCCGTATTTGGTACAACATTTCGGAAAGTTCGTTCTTTTTTTGGTGCTATTCGACTTTGTTTTCGATTTTGCCTTCTAACTGTTTTGCTTCAAGCTCCACTGATTAGTCTAATATTGACTAAATGCGCGCCAAATTATAACCTGGTATAACAGTATACCGAACTCCAAGGCAAATTCAAAAAGGAAGTCCATAAAAACGTACAAAATCAACGGAATAAGTGAAAAACAAATGCCATTTTCATTCGATCTTTGATGAGTTTTGACTTCGGTATAGTTAGGTAAATAGAAGGTCCGGTCACGTATGATTACCTCTTAACTTGCATTAACAATTTGGACCCAATTAATTTAATAAATAAATTATTTTTTGTATATTTGATTTTCAAAAGCAGTAATGGCCATAATTCGATGAAAATTAAATTTGTATCATTTTATGTCCTCTATCAAGTGACATACCTGCAACATATTGCGCCTTTCTCCATTACACATTATTTTTTTTAAATTTGGTTGAAGTCACGAACTATGACTAAAATAAAAGTCAAAAAACAAACTTTTGTTTACTTCTGAATAATAGATGAAAGGAGTTTTTCAGAAGTCACTTTCAATTTAAATTGAAAGTCATTTCTATGGACGTATTTTGTAATTTTCAAATAATCCTATTATTTCATTATAAACGTCTATCTATAGCATCCGGCGTAAGATATTTGACTTCTCATTACAAATTTATTTAGTCCTTGCTTATCAGATTTAATAAGCTTTCTGACAGACATAATTGGCAAGAATGTATGTATGGAAGTGCAACCGGATATATAGACTGTGGTGTCGCTCAGACGCTTATGTATGATTCTATAACGGAGGCTTTTACTACAAAACATGTCACTCACCAATTAATAAAAAATATTATCTACTAACTTATTCGGGTTGCTTATGTTGTACCTTTAGCGTCTCCAAACGCGTTCACTCAGTGTAATGGGATTATTTCTTTATGTATAAAGAAATGTCTTAGAGATTTGTCAAGAACTGCAAATATCTATAGAATAAAAGGGACTGACATATGGGATAGATCACATTATAAAAGATTCTAAACAATGTTTTTCAGCTGATCGATAATTTTGTTAATCGATGAAATTGAAGTCCATATGTTATAATTTTGTTAATCGATGAAATTGAAGTCCATATGTTATCGATTGCAGAATATTTTTTTTCTGTTAAGTTTTCAGTCCAGGGGATCTCTTCATAAAAAATCTTAAAACTAAAATTAATCGAAAGTTAAACTGAACTGTTCAATTTACTCGGAAGAGTTGTTGTGAAATGATTCGCTGATCCAAAGAACTGGGTCCCTTAACAAATATGTTTAGGTTCTTCGATCTGTGACTTTTTCAAAGGGTATTTTTGATACTTCCCTTTTCCATAAATTGTTTACGAATCCAGCATGCATACGATAGAAAATTATCTTAGGTATTTTTTAAAGTTTGAAAAAAAAAATTATCTTTGCTCAATTCTTTCAACATCAATGAGGGGATTATTTCATATTTTACGGTATCAAGATTCAAAACTCGTACACAAACAGCAACAAAATGCATAACCATTGTTACACAATTATATGGCATGGAAGATGAAAGACATAAATAGAGACCGATGCCTATTGCTGCACATTTATGACCAACTGTAGGGTATTTTGTAAAGAAACCCGGTAGTACATTTTCTTAGACAGAATATACTAGATAGTATTGCAGTCATTTAGCTAATGTGATAAGGAAAGATCGAGTAATGGTTCCTCTATATGAATAGATTATTTTCTGAATGTGCCGGATGTTTGTTTGTGAGCCATCTGCTTTGTTGTCGACAAACATTTCACAACGTCATCGATTTATACATATTCGAACAAGAAGGTGAAATAGATGGAAATGATACCAAAGAAGCAAGAAAAAAAACGTAAGTCGATGAAAAAGACAAACACAATGTCAAAAGAAAACAACCGACAAAAAATAGTCCACAAAACGATACACATAAGATAAAAGATTAAGAAACACGGAGGTTAACCCCGACCCCCTTCTGGTCCCCGTCTTGTAGTTTACCCTTAAACTTGACTAAATGTAAAACATTTTTAAAGCCAAAAGATATACACGAATGTAATCTGTAGAATAACACATATATATTGTTTTTTTTAAGCAGGGTGTAAAAACTGGTCTACTTTCTGGTATTATAATATAAATCTTTAATCTTCTCTTTCCTGGAGAAATCATTGTTTTCTATTTTGATTTGCGTATCTGTTCCAGTGGAGAACCAATGAGTAATGTGATATGTGATTAAAAACCGCAAATACTGCAAAATATTCTTTATTTTTAACATTAAACATTAACACCAGATAAATAAACTTATTCAGCAACATAGTTCACATGTTGATTATCACAGTTATATACATACAACAATACAATTGCCATTCACTGATATCCTGAATGAGTATCTTTAACTTATTAAGACTCTTGTTTACTTTACCATAAAAAATGATGTCAAATTTCAGTAGAATATGTGGAGGCTTCGTGTAAAAATATCATAATTGCACATAACGTTTTTGATATATACTTTCCTCACAATTCGAATTTCAATTATCCAATGTAAATAATCACATTTCCTACATTTTTAAAATAATATATATAATAAACATATTATCTGATTTATTTTCATTAATTATACATTTTGTAAATTCCGTGCGTCAAAAGCGCATTTCTCGAATTACCTTTATTAAAACGCTCAAACCTTGACATTTGAATGCCAAATTAAGTAACGTAACTCTTACAGAAACAAAATGCTTATCTTCTCCAACTGAATTGTCTGTATTTTAAAATTTCACGGTAGAATATTTTCTATTTTCTGTTTAGCAGTGTTTGTGTCTTCGTTTTAAAGTTAAAACATATAATGTGGGATGTCATGTCCGTATGTACTTTACATCAACCATGAACATGATATTATCCCTTAAAATGACAAAAAAAATCTTAATATATAATACTTGTGTTCATAAGTGCTGATATAAAAAGAATTAGATGAAAAGGTAATCAAAATGAAATTTTTAACAACAAATTTTTTTTCAAGATCTTAATTAAGACATTTTTATCTGATCCGTTTGACAATGTTTTGTAAAATTCATTTAAATTTCATCATATATAAAATCAATATTGAAATCATCAGATTTAAAAAAAAAACCCGCATAATTTCCTTTGGTAATATCTCATTATGCTTAATGCTAGTTGTTTTGTTCAAACCCTTAAGTTATAAAGCTCATGGGTCTTTTTATCTTGTAATCAGATTGCCAAAGTGCTCGTTCAATTCAAAGCAGAACGTTAAAATACAACTGTTTGACTCAGCAATCTAAATTGATATCTAGACGGTGTTTAAATGTTATATTAGGGCAGACAACGCTAACGTTGACAAACACACAAAACAGGTTTCTCACACTGTGAATGTTTCAATGTATTTAAACATTTAATTATTTGTCCGGCCAATTTGAACACATATGATAGAGTTCATAAATTTTTGAACACAGAATGCTTCAATTGATTTTTGTTTTTAACAAATGAATACGGCACATAGAATGCTATAATAAGCCATTGTGACGTAGGTAATATTAAAGTATGCGAAAAAAATAGACATATTTAAAGAGTATATAATAATAAAACTAGCATGTGCCTGTATTGTATGATACATGTACATGTTATAGGACCTCTTACAGACTACACTTCCTCTATTAAACTGTATTGTATGATACATGTACATGTAATATGACCTCTTGCAGACTACACTTCCTCTATTAAACTGTTTTATGAATGTGTCGTTATTGCTTTGATTCGCTATCTCGTCAATCTTTGAATCATGATTGTCAAGAAATCTACTTGTTCAGTACACCTTATGCTATCAGGAGACACAGGGATCGGAGATCTCCGCCATGCAATGAGACTCGGATATCCGATCATTGAGGTCGTTGTTTAGGTTAACACAACGATATGAACGTTAAAGTAATGGCTGCCGTCGATTATGACTAATATCACGTTATCCATTAGGTCAGGACCCTATCTTACTGGTCTTTATCACAGGATGCCAATAGTCAGTTGGTCTGTGTGGATGCTCCATGATGTCATACCAATGGTCTAACTGTTCACCATGGCTATACCACCCTAATTCAACCTGTAAAATATCATTGCTTTTTAATATTGACATTCATTTGTGTTTGAAATATATTTTAACTAATAACATAATACAGCATCCACTTGTTAATAGATATAAGAAGATGTGGTATGAGTGCCAATGAGACAACTCTCCATCCAAGTCACAATTTGTAAAAGTAAACCATTATAGGTCAAAGTACAGCCTTCAACACGGAGCCTTGGCTCACACCGAACAGCAAGAGATAAAGGGCCCCAAAAATGACTAGAGTAAAACCATTTAAACAGGAAAACCAACGGTCTAATCTATATAAAAAAAACTAGAAACGAGAAACACTTATGAACAACATCAACAAACGACAACCACTGAACATCAGGTTCCTGACTTAGGACAGGTGCAAACAAATGCAGCGGGTTTGAACGTTTTAACAGAGCCAACCTTCAAACAACAATGCTGTCATCTTTTCTTTGTGACATCACTGAATGTAACTTATCATTTAATTTTTACTTGCAATAAAATAACATATGTGTTGTCACTAGTGAAATCTGAATATTTTATCATTCCACGTCAAAAGTAAAACAATAAAAATACCGAACTCCAAGGAAAACCCAAAAAGGAAAGTCCCTTATCAAATGGCAAAACCAAAAGCTCAAACACATCAAACGAATGGAAAACAACTGTCATATGAGTTTACACATTCAGTTCTTGGTAGGGTTCAGGTTGCTCAATATGTAGTTTTCTTAGATATCAAGGAACCTACCCTCATTTTCGGTCCCTAAACAATAAGGGTTTGCAATATTCGTTGAAGGGGATTTCATGCTTACAAGGAAGCTATTGCAAGGATTTCGTAGACCGCCTCTTTTTTCTGTGTACATCTAAATCACGATGCCTTAAAGGGTTTCGAAGTTATATGTTAAAAGTCAGTTGAATTGCATTTTGATGACGGCATTGTGACACAGAAAACAGGTAATGGACATCACTATAGTGACCAATATATGGTTTGACACTTATACGGCAATAAAGTGGTATTCATTTTGGCAACAAATTGATCCATGCTTATATAATTATTATCACAAGATACCTTTATCTACGCACATGTCTCCCTTCATTTTGAATTCATTCTGTGCGTATTGTTTTGTTACCCTCTCTGTCTGTTTGTTCTTGTATTAACATTTAAGATGACGCTGATTTACAACTTTTCACACTGAAAGGATTCGGAAATGTTAACATTGTTTATTTGGCAACTTCAAGCACCAAGTGAAAGGCTTTTACAATGGCATAGCTCTTCCATGTCTGTATATTTTCATTCAGCCTTATGCCTAAAATAGACTTACTTGACCTAATTTCTGAACTCCCATCATCATGTCTTTATGTATTAGCTGAAAGACGAATGCATGCCCAAGAAGTTTAGGGTTTTCTCTATTGATTTCAAAAACACAAGGATGATTCCACACCGGGTCTTGTGTATTTTGTCTCACTTTGGTTTTATGTTTATCCTGACGAATTCCATTGACATACATTTCAACTTTAACATATGGATCTGCAAAATTAAGATAGGACAGTTTTAAAGTTGCAACCGACAGATACGTTTGAAAGTAGCAGAAAAGAATCATGAGCATAATAAGGAATTGAAAGATGCAGCAACAAGACTTATATGAGCAACAAGACGGATGCCACATATGGAACAGGATCAACTTACCCCTCCGTAGCACCTGAGATCACCCCTCCCTCAATTTTCGTATTGTTCGCGTTGCTCTGTCTTTATTTTTCTATGCTGTGTTTTGTATACTGATATTTGTCTTATGGTCTTTTTCTTTTTTTTACCATGACGTTGTCAGTTTATTTTCAAGGTATGAGTTTGAATATCCTTTAGTATTTTCGCTTCACTTTGAATGTAAGAAATATGTTTTGTTTGGAGTGTTTACGATGGTTTAAACATGTATCTATGAAAATTTATATCCACAATTCATTGATTAAACAGGGCCCCAGATAGCATCAACTGGTTTGTGACGTTATGAACAATTTTTGTAATGCAGAACTTATCCAGATTGGAAAAAATAGCGATAAGGTGTATCGACAGACACGCTCGGTATTTGCCGAAAAGAATTTTAAATATATAATAAGGAACTAAAAGAAACAAAATGGAAACAACACGTTATAAATTTCATGCGTCCGAAGCTCTTTCTGGATTGACGCTCAAAGCCGAATATTTGAAAGCCAAGAATGTATAATAACCTAAACAGTTAAAGTGCTATATTAACCAAAAAGGATCTCATCATAATGTATATTTATCATCAGTACCTAGATGTACTGATGATAAATATATATTATGATTTATGAATTTGCTGATTGAACGTTTCTGTAAATTGAAGGAGTATGAACAATTATATTAAATAATATTCTGATACATCGTTCGACATTCTCTATAAGTTAGTTACAACTGTGAAATAAATGGATGTTTGGAATGAAACTTTATACTCTAGAGGAAATGACTTTTATGCATTTCCTATCAAGTCGAGGTATATTAAATATAATGTGTGATTATTTTCTGTACTGTTGATTTATTTATTTGTTTCACACGTATAATAGTTAGTGATTCATGTTGCGAAATGTGAGTTAAAGTTGAAATGTTTTTCCTTTTTGTAACATTTCACTTCTAAATGACAAGTGCATTCACAGAGCACAGCTTTCCCCTTCCAACTGTAATATACAACAAGACAATAAATGGCAAAAGGATAACCATCATTGGACGATTTAAGTATTGAATTGCTATTATATGAACAGGGTGTTTTCATTTGAGAGAATGTCACGTGAAAATAACATGAACAACACACATATTTTCGTTTACACAATTAATCTTACGAATATCAACGCACATAACAATTTTCAATTTGCAAAATAGAGAATAACAAGAATGTGTCCATAGTACACGGATGCCCCACTCGCACTATCATTTTCTATGTTCAGTGGACCGTTAAATTGGGGTCAAAACTCTAATTTGGCATTAAAATTAGAAATATCATACCATAGGGAACATGTGTACCAAGTTTCAAGTTGGTTGGACTTCAACTTCATTAAAAACTACCTTGACCAAAAACTTTAACCTGAAGCGGGACAGACGGACGAAGGAAATGAGGCACAGACCGAAATACATAATGCCCCTAGATGGGGCATGAAAATAAATATAAAATGTCAAATGAGATGTGTTTTTTACCACTGTGTCGATACCTCTTCTGATGGACTGTCAGTCCATGAGTGTATCACCAAGCCAATAAGCCAGTACTTTGGTACTGGTATGTATACGGATATTGCTCGATTGAAATTTGGTATCATCAAATTTTTTAAATCATTTCAAATTAAGGAATATATCCCTCTCATGCAAAAATCTAATCTCTTTCCCGGATTTGGCTATACTTTAAGTCCTTTCAGGTTTGATCAGCACTTCAACCTTTCATTCTGTTTTGTGTTTTTAAATATGTTGGCACCGAGCATCACTGAAGAGTCATTTATTGTCAAAATGCGTATCTGGTGCAGCAACATTGGAACCGTATATGTTATTGCTTTTGTACAGTGTTTTCCTTGACGGAGCAAAATTGACTTTAATAAAATTTCTGTGTTGGATTTACACTCAGAATGGGTTCATTTATGACTGCACTTGTATAGCCAATGTCACCTGTTAATTGACTCTGCACAGTAACTCTAAGATGTATGTCAACATGTAATTGCTTAATTTCTAATAATACAACAATGCATTTGAACTTTGGTAGTTGTCTCATTGGCAATCATACCACATCTCTTTATTTTTCTTTTTAACTCATTTGAAAAAAAACAAAAAACTGCAGGGAAGTAATTGGGTGCCATTTGCAGACAAATATACGCGTAACTTTCAAAGTACCCTGATACCCCTGATTTTCGAAACTTGGATTTTTTATCATCATGACATTGTTTGGTACTCTTCTACAAGTTATGTATATGCTTTCTGTTTACGCTGATGTGTGGATTTCATACTTACTAATAGCACCTAATAATGAAACTCTTGGTAAGTTTCTTGCTTCTAATACATTAAATACAATTTTTCCTGCAACCGGCTGATAACAACCAGATATTCGTATGTCTCCTTGGTGAAGCTACAAATACAAATATAAATTACTTTATGTAAAAGAAGACATGCCCAAAAATGAAAAACAGATGTACAATCTTATTGTTCTTTTTAAAAGCTTACTAGTCATTTGAACAAAAATTATATACTAGGTGTTCTAATTATAATCTTTTTAAAAGATTTTACCAGAAATCCAAGACCATGATTTCAAACGTTTTGGCAGACTAATGGATAAGGAACTGTTTAATCCCTCCGTAAACTGCGGATTATGATGACGCTCGTGCTGCCTTACCTGTAATATTTTGTATTTAGACTAATGCTTAAGTGATTTTTCTTAGACATAGTGTTTTTAGGCATTCGTCTTCAATTCTTGATGTCTTATTTTTGTTTTTGGATAATTTTTATGTATTTATAATAGTTAGAGTAATTGTTTAATACACTTGTTATTCATTAGTCTCGTATGAACTGTTTCAAAATTCAATGTCGATGCCTTTTATAGCTGACTTTTAGGTATGTGTTTTTCTCATTGTTAAAGGCAGTACGGTGACCTTTCATTGCTGATATCTTCGTCATTTGAACTCTGGTGGATAGTACTCAATTGCATGTTGATTTATTTTTTGGATATTATCAAAGCAATTCAGAATCCAAAAAGGCTAATTGTATGATCGAATGACATTTTAATCTCATCGATGTTAAACTTAAGAGAAACTTATTTGAAACAAAATGTTATTTGCTTGCTCGATGCATTTCTTAAAAAAAACTTACTCTATATACAGTTTCTGGCATAATGGTTAAATCAGCCAATCCATTTTCCAGTTCACAAAGATTTGACAGAAGAATAGAAGACATTCCGACTAGATGTCGACGTGTCACATTATGCGAAGAATAAATTTGAAATTCGATAGCAGCTTTATCGTCCATGTCACTTGGCACTAAATCCGTTATTGTAAATTTCTCAAGAAAGACTGGAGTCTAAAATAATCATTGTTAAAATACTGTGAGATCAGAAACTCATTATAAAACAATAATTAGATAAATAAAAAAAATACTAAACAAAGTAGACATTACATAACATTTTTTTTTCATAACTTAAAGACAGCATTTATTTTAACCACAACAAACACACTGTCAATTTTTTTTTACAGATATCCAATGAATATCTAGTTGATATCGTAGTAGTTACTCAGTCTTTGGTATTCTATGGTGTGGTTTGTGGATTTTTGTGGATAACGTCCATTATCACTGAACTAGTATACATATTTGTTTAGGGGCCAGCTGAAGGACGACTCCGGGTGCGGGAGTTTCTCGCTGCATTGAAGAACCATTGGTGACCTTCGGCTGTTGTCTGCTCTATGGTCGGGTTGTTGTCTCTTTGACACATTCCCCATTTCCATTCTCAATTTTATTGTTATATCGTCGTTTATTTTGCCATGGCGATGTCACTTTTTTTATCCAATCATGAGTTTTGAATGTCCCCTTGGTATCTTCCGCCTGTTTTGTTTTACAGTTATATTTGAGCCACTACTTTACGCTTCATGTTAGTTAGGAACTTTTCCAAACTTATTCCGTCAGTTTATTTGATTTGAAAAACTACATGAACCTTAATTTTCCTTCAATACCCCCGCCCAACCCCATTTATTTGATTTGAAAAACTACATGAACCTTAATTTTCCTTCAATACCCCCGCCCAACCCCATTTACGATACACAGTCTACGAATTAATCCCACTGTAAAATGTGACTTCCTTAATCTATGATTAGTCTATGATATAGTTCCAGAATGGAGGTGAAGATCACAATAAAAACTCTAAGAAACCGCAATGTGAAATACTATGCTAAGAATTTACTCCTTTTACGAATAGAGGTGATCATGAATATCACAATAAAAACTCTAAGAAACCGCCAAGTGAAATTGTAGGATACGAATTTGCCTTTTTGAAAATGTGAGTTTATGTGTCTTTGATATAGTCTAAAAACGAAGGTGAAGTTAAAAAGCTTATTTTCTTTTTTATCTGAAAATTTCCCAATTGATAAGGAATCACCCATGATACCCAGCTTATAATTTACAACGTGAGGCGCGCGCATCGTTTGTCTCAAACTAATCTGTTTTATCAATTTCACTGGTATTGATGAAGAGCATTAAATTGTGCCAAATATGGTTAAATCTAGCTTTGGCTGGGGTAGAGTAATTAGTATTCTAAATTATCTACATCCTTTTGATCTTTTTCTTTTTTTTTCTTTTTTCCATGACTTTGTCAGTTTATTTCGACTTATGAGTTTGAATGTCCCTTTGGTATCTCTAGCCTCTCTTTGTTAATAGTATATCATGCAAATTTACGGCATAGCCCTCTTCCCATATATTTTCTCAGTTGTAGTTGCATTTGGCTATTTTTGCTATTTTTAGCTCCTTTTAGTTCATATAGCTCTTCAACTGTTCCTGTTTTTACTCTTCCTTGGCTTTCAAATATTTGGCTTTGAGAATTCTTGATGAAGGTCAATCAAGAAAAGAGCTTCAGATGCATAAAAAAAAATCTATAAAGTGTTGTTTTTATTTTTTGTAGGAAATTTTATGAATTTAACTGCAAACTATTTTGAACATAAAAAATAGAATGAAATTGTCAATCATTCGAATTGTATTAACTTATAATTCAAATTTAAAAATGCAATTTAAGTGTTTTGGAATATCCTTTCATAGCTACACTGGAGACAAAAACAGTATAAGTTGATCATTTTCATATGGATATCATACACAACTAACATACAAATAATTTAAATAATAATTAGCTGAGTAATAAATTCTTAACACACTTTACAAATAAAAGATTGACTTTTTATATATGTACGTGAAATTAAAAAGACATGTTGACTTCGAATAGCTTTTCTTCCCTTGAAATAAAATCTAAGGAAGTATTGACATTGAGATGTACTCTTACAACGCATTATAATACTTCAATCGACGAATCTAAAGAGTTACAAACGTACTTTGGTTTTCGGAATGGTTTTTGTTCTATATTTGAATGTTCTTCCAGGCACTAGAAATGCTTTAACATATGGATTGATTTCAGTATCAGCGGGAAGTCCGGCTATCCGTAGGTTATCTGCCTGAAGAAACAAGATACAAGTTAATCATTAACTCAAAATAATAAATAATACCAATAAGGGATGTGCTAACAAGATCAGACAAGTTCAAAATCTGAAAACTTTCAATACAAGTTTGGCAAACCACCTAGTATATAACTTTTTCTGCAAGACAGCTAGAAATGACAAGTTTTCTGATGACGTACATGATATCACTTCAATGTTTTAAAATGGTCTCCAGCCCGAATGGCCTTCATTTGTGTATTTTTTATGTTAAAGGTAATTTTTCTCTATTTTTTACATTTGTTATCATTATTCTCTAATCTTGTTATTTTGGCAACACATGATTACCTTTTCTTTTGTTCAGCCAATTTGCTAATTTATTTCTGTATTGCCCATAATTCTCAACTCTGTTAACTACTAACACATCCTCACTTTAGGGAAATTTATTTACTTCCATTATAATCATATTACTGATGCAGTTTGATGAATTCATAATTTCAAAGAAACAAAAGGAACATTATGATGACTTATATTAAGATGATTATGTTTCCTACTTATAAATAGATACAAAGGTATAAATAGATACAAAGGTATAAATAGATACAAAGGTATAAATAGATACAAAGGTATAAATAGATACACAGCTACTTTTGCATAGGTACTCTTTCTGTACTTAAAATCTGTAGTACTAGAAATTTACTTGTAATATTTAGTACTATTTCTTTACTTTAGAATTATTGTAATATTTAGGTACTTACATTTTCCAGTACTTGATTTTGTACTTAAAATATCACTACAAAAATTATACCAACAATGATCACAGTATTCTATGTTTGAACATCATAACTTTATGAGATTTGAAAAAGACAAACTTTCAAAATGCTGAAAATGTAACCGTGCAACAAAAAATCTGTAGTACTTAAATTTCAAGTACAAATCAAGTACTGTAAAATACAGGTACCTAAATATTACAATAATTCTTAAGTAACAAAATAGTACTGAATATTAAAAGTAGATTTCCAGTACTACACATTTTTGGTACAGAAATAGTATATATGCAAAAGTAGCTGTGTACAAAGGTGCAATAAAGGAATTTCCATTGATATTAATGGAAACGGGGAATGCATAGACCAAGGAGCAATCAAAAACATGTATCGAAAACAATCATACAACACCTGGTCCAGAAGAAAACAGCAAAAAGACAAACAGCAGTTCACAAACTCTGGACAGAAAACAAAAAAGGTCAGGAGCTCTTCGATATTTGCTAATGACCCTGCCAGAAACCTCAGCAGTGATTGATTTTGATTAAATCTTCGTTTTTTCAGTGTTTTAAAGACTGGTGGAGGCTCTGGTATTCTCTTTTAAAGTTAACACCATTTCTAGACTTGTGACATATATATGATCAGTACATTGTTGTAGACCTATGTTACCGTCTAGATATTATTTTAATTTGTGTTTTATTTTTAGATATTTGTCTAAATGACATATACCCATGATCTCCAAATATAGCCAACTCCATAATGAAGATACATGAAATAAGTATGTAACGTCATAAAAGGTCGAGCGCACCTTTTTTAAACAGCTAATATTACCAAATAGTGGTACCAAAATATTTTATTTAATACGATTTTTGAAATGATTTAAAGGTTGTTGTCTCATAAGAACCTCAAATCTAGCTCTAATATGGTAAAACCAGATTAATAAAAAAATGTCTGTCATTAGTTTTCAGACTAGCTAGATTAATGCATTCTGTTATACAGTATCCGCTACTGCCCCTCAGAAATGATTATATATAATTTAATTGTGAAGGAACGATTTTACCACCGCTGGTTATAAAGTCATCCTTAATCACGGTTGTTATGTATTAGAGTTATAAACTTCACATCCAGCAAATAATGCGCCATACGTTCCATTACATCCTATTAATTCTAATTACGCCAAAGAATGAAGTCCCCTTTTAGAACAAGATAATTCTAACCAGTTTGAAGCATACTTGAATAAACCAACTTGCGTATTAAGAAAATTACTTCATTAAATTTGTCCACAATAATGTTTTAACATTTTCAAAAGAACCATGTGCCTTAATTTTTTCCTCCATAAAAGATGTAACCTGCCAGAGTAAAAGCAGAAATAGTTTTTTATGGTTATATTCAAGCTTGTTTTATTGAATTAATCATTCCAAAAGTCAAACATGCAAAGAAAGCTTTTTTCATAAAGTATCTTCATTAAACTATATCACATGATACCGAAATAAGTCAAATACATCATATGCGTCATTTATTCTTGAAGCCAAATTTGACATCTGAAAGTAACACTTTTAAGAGGAAATAAACAAACAGGATCCAAAACATTTCAGAACCATTTCTGCATCGTAAAGATAACTAATTGAAGTATATGAAGTAGGAATCTCGTCCTCCTCTCTTCGCTTTTTTTCATATTCGAATGTGAACAAAAAATAATAACAAAAATACCGAATTCCAAGAAAAATTCAATACGGAATGTCCCTTATCAAAGCCAAAATCAGAAGCTCAAACACATCAAACGAATGGAAAACAACTGTCATATTCCTGTCTTGGTACAGGCATTTCTTTATGTAGAAAATGGTGGATTAAACCTGGTTTTAAGGCTAGCTAAACCTTTCACTTGTATGACAGTCGCATAAAATTCAATTATACTGACAACAAGGTGTGAACAAAACATACAGACACAATAGATAAAAATGTGGAGTGTTTGTTATCTTGTTGTTACTTTTTCCTGGCCATGCAAATCTACTTTGAACAAAGTGTTTGTGACAAAAGTGACATGTTCACGTTCTTCTTTGCAAACAGTTATGGCAAATACATAAAATTATGACAGTGTGTTGCCATTGAATCACACAACAGGAATTGATGTGACACTGCTTTAAGCTGGACTTCAAAGTTATTGTGAAACTACTTATTTAAGCCGGGCGTGAATCAGAAGTAGATACTTAAAAATTCCAAAGAGTTTTGCTTTGTTTTATGAAAAAGAATGGCCAACGTAGATACATCTTTCTCGTCTTAGGGAGAGACGAATCGTACTTTGTAAAAAATCACTCTGATTCAAACAAAAAATTATCTGAAACTGACATTATCAAGATAAAATTGAGAATGGAAATGGGGAAAAAGATGGTTGGTTATTGACAACATATCTATTACTTTTAGAAGACGTGTTTTTTCAACAAACAATCGGCATTCCCATGGGAACCAACTGTGCTGCTGTTTTTGCTGACTTGTTATTTGATTCATATGAGGCAGGCGTCATACAGGAGCTTCTTTGAAAGAATGAAAAAAAGATAGCGTTTTCCTTTAATTTCACCTTCCGGTGTATAGATGATGTTCTCTCACAAGATAATTCAAAGTTTGGTGACTATGGTGAACGTATCTATCGCATTGAACTTGAAATAAAGGATACAACAGTCTGCCGTATATCTGGACTTACATCTAGAAATTGATAACGAGGGTCGATTGAGAACAAAACTTTACGACAAAAGAGATGATTTCAGCTTCCCATTTGTGAACTTTCCATTTCTATGTAGCAACATTCCAACAGCGTCTGCATATGGAGTATATATCTCCCAGTTTGATACGATATTCCACGGCTTGCGTTTCCTATTATGATTTCATCGAAAGAGTGTTGCTGCTCACAAGGAAGGTTTAACCTAAGAGGTGAAGTTGAAGTTATCCCTTCGAAAAGAGTGACCGTTATGAAATATCTGTTTCACATATGACAACGGATATGTTCCAATCATCGTTAACACAATCCCGTCCTCCTTTTCCCTGAGTATGACCTACCGAATTAGACTTATCACCGAGTTTGCACTTACATTATCAACACGACGGGTTCCACATGTAGAGCAGGATATGCTTAAACTTCCGTAGAACCAGATATCAACCACGTTTTTTTCTTGGGTTCGTGTTGTTCAGTCTTTTGTTTTCTATGTTGTGATTTGTATGCTGTCGTTTGTGTTTTAGTCTTTTTTCTTTTTTATCCATGCCGTTGTCAGTTTTTTTTTTCGACTTCTGAGTTTGAATGTCCCTTGGTATCTTTCGCCTCTATTTAAGCATTTTAAATAAAATTTAAGACATAACTTGAATACATAGTTACAACTGTATATTGCTACCTGAAAAGAAGACGTCGAGCCGGTTCAACTTCATTGACGTGAACCGATGTTTAATTTCTAAATTAGTCTATCATATTCCTTTTACCTCTATAACAATAACTGTTAATGACGTCTTGTTTTCTGCCATTTGAAACTGAACTTTTAATTTCCCTGTAGGGGGCATTGGAGGGGTAAAACTTGGCATCATCATATCGTCTAGATTCAAATCATGCATAACTACAGGTTTATCTGGAAGTCCAATACTACCTCCTTGTCCTTTAGCCTACAAAATAGTATAGTTCTAAATTAAATATCAAGAATAATCTTAATAAAATTGAGAATGGAAATGGGGAATGTGTCAAAGAGACAACAACCCGACCATAGAACAGACAACAGCAGAAGGTCACCAACAGGTCTTCAATGCAGCGAGAAATTCCCGCACCCGGAGGCGTCCTTCAGCTGGCCCCTAAACAAATATATATACTAGTTCAGTGATAATGGACGTCATACTCAACTCCAAATTGTACACAAGAAACTAAAATTAAAAATAATACAAGACTAACAAAGGCTAGAGGCTCCTGACTTGGGACAGGCGCAAAAATGCGGCGGGGTTAAACATGTTTATGAGATCTCAACCCTCCCGCTATACCTCTAGCCAATGTAGAAAAGTAAACGCATAACAATACGCACATTAAAATTCAGTTCAAGAGAAGTCCGAGTCTGATGTCAGAAGATGTAACCAGAGAAAATAAACAAAATGACAATAATACATAAATAACAACAGACTACTAGCAGTTAACTGACATGCCAGCTCCAGACTTCAATTAAACTGATTGAAAGATTATGTCTTCATCATATGAATATCAGGCACAATCCTTCCTAACCTACTAAACTTTGATTCATTTATAATTATATCTATTGAAATATATAATAAAATCAGTCCTTATATTGTAAGTCAGAAGATAAAGTACCTATCTATTCTTGTAATATTCATAAGGCTTTGTTACTGTCCATGGGCAAATACAGATAACAGTTGTATTGAACCGGTTAATATATAATACGTTACTTCGGGTTCTGTCTGGTTTGTATTTCAGTGAATACGTCTCATATATCCCAGTGAATTTGAAATTAAGGTTGATACCGACACTAGAAAGTCTGCTTCATATCTTGGTCTTTTCCTCGATATTAACACAGATAGACGACTTCAGATTGTCATAGAACACACGTAATGATTTAATTTTCCAATAGTTAGCTTCCCCTTTCTCAGCAGTATCATAGCCTCTGTTATATCGTTTAGCGTTTACACATCTCAAGTGACACATTATGTTCGTCCATATTCACACTTTACGGCCTTCAGCTTCAGGAGTATGCTCTTTTCACAAATCTGCTCCAACAGAGTTTTGAGGAAGATTGACTGAAATCGACACAGCATAAACGTTTTACGCTCACGATCATGAATTGAATAACAGATACGGTATGTATTTGCTTCAAATCACTAATGACATGTGTTCGCAGTCGAAGATCTTCAGGTACACGAAAAGTCGTCAAATCTGTATCTTTACCAATTCTGTTCTAATCTCCATTGTAATAAATTGGCGGAGTGTGGATTCGAATGACGGGTGATGCAAACATAGCAGAAGACGTTTGTTATGTTGACGCCTCCGAACTGATACATCATTACACTACTTTTGCCTCAACTTACACATAATTTCTCACAAAATGATGATCTACTCGTTGTAAAATCAAAGATACACAATAGGATACCGGACATTTGCGATTACAATAGCAACATGTACGTGAAAAACACTTATATAATGGTGCATTGGATAAAACCATTAACACACTATGTTGTTATGCACACAAAACCTATTGCGATAAAGCAACTTAGTTGGTTATGTTTTACATACCAAAAGACTATCATATAAGAAGGCAGAAATATCTCATTTTTCAGAGTTATAAGTCTGCAGCATCATCAATGTTATTTTTAAAATGTTTTTGAAGAACAAAATTAAACATAGCTAGTTTTAAATTTCATATTAGATACATCTATAGATATTTGATTCCAAACGTTCCTGATAAAGTATTATCCCCAAAAATAGTTAAAAACAACAATCGTATTTGCGTCATTTCGAATTGCTACTTTTGGATAAGACATGTGTGTGTCGTCCGTACTGAAATTAGTATTTCGGTATCGGAGATAGATTAGAAAATAATACACAATTAAAAGATATGAAAAGAAAAATCAGACGTTTAAAATATCTTAAAGGTTTTTAAATGAAAATAGTTGACATGATTTGAGCTCCGTATTGTAAAACTCATCAGCAAGGTAGTTCTGTCATTAATATAAATGCGTGTGACGTAATAAGCTTTTACAAGTCGTATCTTACTTTCCATTGGTCAGCTATCAGGAGTCACCTGATATTAAAGTCCAATCAACTCATCAGCAATGTAGTTCCGTCTTTAATGTAAATGCGTGTGACGAAATTAGCTTTGACAAGTCGTATCTTACGTTCAATTGAAGTCAATTGGCTTGTCGGTTAACCTTATGATGAACGTCATGAAAAACAATAGAAGACTTCAATGAACTCATTTCCACATGACAGATACAGAATAATGACAAGTATGTAACCTGACACGAACAGTATATGCTACAGCATGCATTAGTCATCACGGAATGGTATATGCCTTAAAATTCACTTGGCTGTGTTAGTTTGTATCCTATTTTGTTATTGAATTACAATGAAAGAAGATGAAAATCAAACGTATAACAGAGATTTGTAAAATTATGAAATCAGTTAAAAAAGATGAAAGCAACACATGATAAATTGCATGCAATCGAAGCGCTTTTCTGAATTTACCTCAATCGGGAACGATCAAAGACGAATATTTGAAAGCCAGGGATATTTAGAGAGCTATATGACCCAAAAAAGGACACCAAAATAAGCGTAACTATAAAAACTTTATCTAAATCGATACTGATATCGATCAATCGATTGATCGAGAAAAAAATATTGTCATTTTGTAAATTGAAGTCAAACTGTAGCTCTAAACGTTAAAAAAGGTTTATTATTCACAGTTTCGTGCCCGTACACCCCTGTATGAGTTTGTATGATATTCCCATTTTTTGACATCTTTTGTGGTGGCCATTATGGTTGATGCAAACTCAAGAATTTGTAGGCAATATCAGCTATTATATGAAATTTTCAAATAAAGACAAAATGTTATACACCTTTGTACAACGGTTTCCATTATTGGGTATACAAATCTATTCATAAATGAGCAAAACTTTTAGTTTAATAACTGCTTCATGATATGTAAAAACAACATTTATTCATCAAATAGAAGGAAGCAAAAACTGTTTTTCGACCTTGTATCACAATCTATATCATCATCTTAAGACTTTTGTATTAATCCTTTTTTTTTTTTTTGATTGCCGGAGGCCATAAATCAACCACAGGAAATATATAATTCTAGTCTAAAAAATTTCCCTAATCTCCAAAGAGGTCAAATACAATTGTCTTATACAAAAGTCATTAAAGGAAAATCAAAACCGTCGAAGATGAGGGTATATATAGATGTTTGTTGGTATGGACCTCCTCCATTTTCATTGTCATCAACTATTGATTTTCCCATTTTCAGGCTTTGTTGCAGCAGTGGTAATCGTCTGAGTTAATGTTGATTTATCTTCTCGAGTTCACCGTAAAAACAAACAGAATCCCTGACGGAAATACTAGGTTTTTTTTGGATTTAGCAAAACCTGAATTTAAATCAGATGTAATAACAAAAAGTCCATTTGTCTTAAAGTTTTAGTTTGATGAGAATTAATCTAAAATAAATGCATGACTCCTGTCAAATAATGTATAAAGTCATTATTGGGTTGTGTAATTGTCAGTAAATCTTGTTCACTATAAATTCCAGTCTTACAGAAAAAACCATAAATGCCTAGGATTACACTGTTCCATATTAGAAATTTTTTGCATGTAACATAAAATGTAAAACAACAGAAGGGCAGATATTTACTAATTGATTGATTGATTGGTGTTTAACGCCACCTTCGGCACTATTGCACTATTTCGTGGCGGTCAGTTTTTAATATTGGAGGAAGCCGAAGAGCTCGGAGAGAACCACCGACCTTCGGTGGGAAGACTATCATTCCTAGACAATTGAGATTGGAGTCGAGCGTACTTGCTGCGTACGGGATTCGAACTCACAACCTCAGTGTTGACGGGATAGTGATACAGTAGTTAGACTTCTTAGACTACTCGGCCACCGAGGCCCTAGAAGGGCAAACAAGACGTAACTGAAATACCAAATAACAACATAAAACAACAGAAACAGAGAAATAAAAATAAATAAAATGAAACTTGCTAAAATATTGGTAATCTCAGATACTCCTCAAGGGAAATAAATGTTTCTGCTTATAGACGGAGTAATATCAAAAATATCTTAACGAATTGTTAATGAGATAATCCTACAACACACGACACATATTAGTTTTTAGCTGCATACCATATGATTAATTGCCTTAAAATATATTTGTACTTTGATTCCTTGAAATGTTTTAATGTAAACTCCTACATTATTAAACACATTTTCCGAAATATCTTTCAAATTGTACAGGATTTCGTAGTTTTCTGTGGAATTGTCCTATTTTTCACTTGTTTCGTTGATTGATAGGGTTTTATTTTGTTAGTTTTCATTGACTTTCACTTTTTTTTAATTTGCCTTAGAGTTCGATATTTTATTATACTTTTTTCAGTATCTGGTGTCATTTTATTTGCATTTCTTTATTTACTGCATTGCATATGAACATCTGATACAGGTCTCGCTCCTTTTGGAATTTGTGGAATTCCATCAGTTTTATCTTACTTTGATTTGTATCTTTCTTAATGGATTAACTTAATGGATTAACTTAATGGGTTAACTAGAGTTTGACATCAATTAACATCGGTTGTCTCTAATTCAAGACAAGTTTGTACAGGCACACTTTTTGGCACTCAATGCTCGTAAACTTCGTACTTTTATTTGGTTTTTTAACTTTTTTGACTGGAGAGCGTCACCGATGAGTCCTTGGTAGACGAAACACGCGTCTGGCGTACAAAATTATCAGCTTTGGATCTTGGATGAGATTTGTTTGGCTATCTTTGGTAAAAATGATAATCCAATAACAATTGAATAAAAAGTCATCAATGATATCAGGCGTTTAGTTTTTGACGATAATAATGCGATTGAATATGTCATTTTTAATAATAGTAATCAGATTCAAAAATTGAACAAGTACCAAAATAGAACGTTTTATTATTCATATGCAAAAACTATGAATATTTTACACCGTGTAGAACGCAACATGCTGGATGTTGGCTCTGTTTGACACAGGGTGGCGGTTTTGAAGCGGAGAATAGGCGATCAAGGCAAGTAAAGTATCAAAATTTCTTTTTTGAGAATTATTAGGACCAAATAATGTACTGCACGTAAGGAACCGAACCATAATATGTTTCCAGCAAGTAAAGATAGACGTTTCCAGTGCTCCGTTTTCTCAAACACCTCTCCCTAGTTTTCCGTGTTGCATATTTTGAGACTTCATATGCAAGTTTCAAGATGAAATACTACTTTTGGTGATTTTTCCCGTATGATTTATATAGAAATGAATTCCTATCATATAATTGTAACAAATGTCAGCTTCGTAGTTAACATTTATTGGTTGAAAAGTCAATTTTTCATCGAAATGTAATTTGTCGCTAGGGGTGTCAGATTCTGCGTCTCAAGGGGTGAGGCCTTTATTAAAACAGGGATAGCTTTGCCTATAATTCGGTCTTTAACTGATAGTTTGTAATTCAAACATGCCTACTATGTAATTATGACTCATTACAAACTTATGGTATTTCATTTAGCCCATATTTTAGTTTTTTAAGTAATGTACATTTTTAATTTCAGGACTAGAGAAAAGGCCTCAAAGTATTTAGTTTTATACCTTAACATGATTAGTTTTCCTTTTCAGTTACTACCATGGTCAGGAAGAAGTCACGGCTATGGCTTAATGCACCAAAACGTGGAGCAAAATCATAGAGCAGACCTCCGTATAAGATTTGCCCGAAGTCATCAAAGGCTAGAATTAAACAGCTTCCTCTACAAAGCAACTTTACATTTTTGCAAAGTCCAATTTCACTGCTTAAGATTTAATGATACAATTGTATTTGAATAACCATAAGTATCGGTTTATCTAATACAAAACTTTTATTCTGTGCTTGTCTAAGAGTCAATTAATGTCGGATGTGCTTTTTGCTTGTTTGGTGTGTAGACATTTTCATAATTAAATAGATTTTGAGCATATTATCGATGTGTAGCATCGTTTAAAATAAACGATTTTAGACAGGTTACCTACTTCATGGTAGGACATTCTGGTACTCGTACAAGTAGAAGCAAGTAAAAGATTTAAAATTAAGATTTAGATTGACACAATTTGTGGAAAAAACTAACCGTTTATGTTTTCTATACACGACAAAATCATCGGAAATCAGTTTTTTTTTCCGAAGTCCAAGTACCAGAATATCCTAATATATCTGTAATATGAAAATAGTCTATTGTCAAACACATTGTTCTCGACTTATAATTGTTGTTTGTCTTCTCCTCGTTTAACATTTTTCTTAGACATATAATTTGTGATCTTCGGCATCACTTTTTACAATACGCCAAAATATTCCAATTAACACTTTGCTTTTAACGTTTCTGCGGTTTTATACATCCTGACTTTCAAATTGTTAGATTTGAGCGTTCCTGATCCAGAAAAGCGTTACGGAAGCATGAAATTTTCCCAGTGCTATTTACGTATGCTGCATACTTACGTTTAACTTAGGTTTTTTCCTGGCTTGGCACTGTGGAGTGACTGGATTTACTGTGTAATCTAAGGCATTCATACTGCTAACAACTAACGAAGATAGAGTAATTCTTCTACCGTCTCCACGCCCTCGTCCACCTGTCAAAAAATCAGAAACACATTTGAAATTGTAGATTATGATTATTATTTCTTGTTACATAAAGACACGGGTAGATGGATAGGAAGTCTGAGCCAGTAGACGAAGAGGTATCAGTTACATTGTAGATTGTAAAAGAGAGGCTAAAGATATCAAAGGGACATTCAAACTCATAAATCGAAAACAAACTTACAACGCCATAGCAAAAAAAAAAGAAAAAGACCAAAAGACAAACAAAAGTTTACAAAAAACAACATAAAAAACTAAAGAATGAGGAACATAAACACAACCAAACAAACGGGGATGGTCTCAGGTACTCCGTAAGGGTAAGCAGATCCTGCTCCACATGTGGCACCCGTCGTGTTGTTCATGTAAGTACAAACATGGTGATAAGTCACTTCGGTATGTCACCACTTGGAACTCTTGGATTAATAGTTTCCTTTTGAGCGGCAACCGTCTATCAAGGCAATCATGATAGGAAATGCAAGTTGTGGAACAATGTGTTCAACATTGTCACCAAACTTTGACTTATTAAGTTAGAGGACATCAACTATATAACGGAAAATGAAGTTAAAGGATACTGCTAACTTCTTTTATTTCTTCATAAGAAGCTCCTGCATGAAGTAAGCCTCATTTGAAAAGGGAACAAATCTGCTAAAGAGGAGCACAGTTGGTTCCCATGGGAATGCCGATTGTTTGTTGAAAAATTCCTCCAAACGTAACAAATATGTTGTCAATAAAGAAACCAAGCATCTTGATTGTGTCAGTTTCAGAGAATGTTTTTGTTTGAATTAGAGTGATTTTTACAAAATATGATTGATCCCTCCATAAGAAATGGTACTTATATCTACGATGGCTTTCTGTTTTATGAAACAAAGCAGGGATAACTCTTTCGATTTGTCTTTTAGTTTGGAATAAGGGTGTAGAAAGAGTCAAATGTTTGAATACTATTGAAAGATGAAAGAGTCTTAGATTGTATGTACTCTAACAGATCGTTGGAAGTTTTTGGTGTCCACATCTGATTCATGCCGCCTCTAGAATAGGTAGTTTCACAACAACTTTGATGGACGGCTTTGATTGCTGATAAAAGTGATGTTAATAATTCAGAAAGAGGATTCATGGGGCACTTGGAAGACCCGATAATATAACGTTGATTGTACGGACACATGTAATTTTGTTCGAATACAGTGAAGAAAGATATAATTATTTGGTTGAAATTCTAAAGGAATATAGAAAAAAGTAAAATAACAAAAAACCGAACTACAAGGAAAATTCAAAGCGGAAAGTCCTTTATCAAATTGCAAAATCAAAAGCTCAAACACATCAAGCGAATGGAAAACAACTGTCATATTCCTGACTTGGTACAGGCATTTCCTTATATAGAAAATGGTGGATTTTAGAACATAGAACAGAACTATGATTATCCAGGATCTCCTCCTTTGGTAAGTGTCCTGGGCTATGTGTTGAGTTTCCAAGTGAATTGTCAATACCTTATCCATTTATCAAGCAATTTATGTAATGTGATTTACACACAACAACGATATCATTTGGGGTTTCAACTGCGGGGACAACAACATATTTTTCATGGAGATAGGACAGGTGCTTTGCAACATTTGGGTCGTTAAAGATTGATGTAGCATGTGTATTCATAGACCCATTCAGGTTTTTAATTCTGATTTGTACCAACGACCTCACAGCCTTAGTCCATTCGGAAAGATTATCTACGTCTTCTCTCTCTCGTTTAACTCATTGCCTGTCATAATCCGCGACTGAATCCATGAGGGTCGTAATGGGGGTACCTTCATGACGAATAACGGTAAAAATTCTTGCCAAATGACGTTAACGGTAATTTTTGGTGCATGACGATAAATTGCACACTTTCTTTCAGACGATAAAAAATCGACTGATTTTGACGAATCACGCAAAATTTTTTCCAAAAATAACGGTAACGATAATTATTTGAGACCTCTGACGAATCACGTTAAGGATATTTTGACGATTCACGGTAAAATTTTAACCAATTTGACGCTAACGGTAGCCGAAAATGACCGTTTGACGCCTGACAGTAAAGGGCATTCCTACCCTCATCCATCAGTATTTTGAAGTTGTGTTTTCAATTGATGGATTTATAGGCTCACAATATTTCGGCCCTTCGAATTATACATTTCGCAGAGAAGTGTTATTGACAATGTTAAGGTCAACAGTAATAACGTGGCCAGTCGAATTATATATGAATGGGGAACAAGCACAGGTGCAATCAGGAGGTTTTGACTTGAGGTCGTCAATATTGCGATCCTGCAAGACGTGTTTGTAATTGAAAATGTTGGTTTGGTATTGGTATAAGAAATGACTGATCTATACAATAGGGAGGTATTTTCGATTGAACTGATTTATGATGAAGGATATTGATCATGTTGATGGCATCGATAACTTTTTGGCAAAGGATCTTTTTTCTTTTCATCTTTTCCAATTCGAATTGGTTTGAAGTCTGTAAGCTTGTATTGGTTTGAATGGGGATTTGTAACAGTGGTTTCAAAACATAAGTTGTACAGATAATGAAGTTTTGAAAAGGGTAGTAAATAAGCTTCGTGCGAATATGATGAATACCCAACTGTAGAGTGATTGGTGGATATTTCACTTCTTTCCAAATTTCAAAGCTGCAGCATATACCCTGCAAGCATTTCGTCAACAGTAGTAAATCTTTAAGGATTTCTAAGCAAAGTAAAACTCGGCATTTAGTTTCAATTAAAGATTCCTTCTATTCGATTTTTGAAAAAAAATATTACGAAAAGTTTTCTTCAGTTTTCAGAATATTGAACATCAAAATTTCATGATGCTTGTTTATTCTTGTGTATTTTTGTTTGTATTTATCAGATTTTGGACATGGGTAAAAGAGAGGCGAAAGATATCAAAGTGACATTCAAACTCATAAGTCAAAAATAATCTGAAAACGCTATGGCTAAAAAAAGAAAAAGAAGAACAGACACACAACCGTACACAAAACACAACATAGAAAACTAAAGACTGAGCAGAGATGTCAAAACTGAAAGCTGAAAGAAATGAACAAATTGTGAATCTTGAATATTACGGAGCACCTGAGATCAACCCTGTTTTTAGTGGGGTCATCTTGCTCAGTCTTTAGTTTTCTATGTTGTGTTTTGTGTACTGTTATTTGTCTTTTTGTCGTTGTCCGGTTTTTGCCATGGCATTGTCAGTTTGTTTTTCGACTTAAAGTTTGAACATCCCTTTGGTAACTTTCGCCTCTCTTTTACACGTTGTCATAAATAAGAATCAAGCAAAATATTGTTCGGTTAGAAAATAAGTTCAAAGACGTATAACAATGTTAATCTATAATAGAAAAAATTATCAAATTTATTGTTATTCATCATTTCTGCAATGAAATTCCACAAACTAATGAATGATAACTAGTTATACAAAGTCTTATAAAAATATCGAAACAATTTTTCTTTTATTGAATATTTATGTTCTGAAGGGCATTTATGCAAAACAATAAATTGTAAATGACGTCACTGAATATACAATAATCTACAAATTTCATTGTCTGACTGAAATAAATCTTAGGAGTAACAAAATTTTCACTCAAAAGCAATGTCTTGCGCTTTCTTCTTGCTTTAGGGAATCGCTTGATAATGTTACATCACAATTTTATTAAATAAATTCTATTTTTGGTTAACTAAATCCGTACAAGTTGACGCTATAATGACATTTTCCTTGTGATCTGTGAAGTTATATAATGTTTATGATTTTACAATAAGGAACCTCAATTCTGAAGAGAGGGATTGTAACACAAGTAAATGTATTGATGTCCTTAATTATCCTATTGAGTAGACAAGGGGGAGATAATTGCAAAACAAAAGAAAGATATCAAACCAGACTTTAAAACAATAAATGTTATCACATATTATACACGTATCTAAATTATGTTGAGCGGAAAGTAATACCACAATTTAAACTTTGAGGTGGTACCAAACACCTTGACTAAAATTAATTTGGATTGTTTTAATTTCATAAAATATTTACTTTGACCCTTTGACAAAGATATAAAAATCTTTAAAAACTTGAACTACACACTTTATCGGAAAAATTTAATTGGATATATAGCAGTTTGACAAACACTAATTTTGATCATTTAGAAGCTTAATATTTCCTTAACAAAAGAACGTGGCTAAAACGTTCAGCTGATTTTTACAGAGTTATCTCCCTGTAGTGTTATGTACCACCTTAATACTTTATTTACGGCATTTAAGAGGAAATCGTGTCTTTTAAAGCCATATGCATGTATATACCGCTGTGAAGTCTTTAGTGATTTTCTTTTTCACATTTAAACTTTTTTTGGAGATTTTTATAGATGATTTATTTTTCATTTTCAGGAAGATAGAACATTGATTACATTATACAACTTTAAAAACATTTGGGAAAAAATTAGGACATTCAGAAAGATGTGTTCATTTTAACTTGATTCATTCGAGTGTCACGAATTAGTCTTTTGTAGACGAAACGTGTGTCTGACGTACAAAATGTTTAAGCCTAGTATCTATGAAGAGTTTAGTTAATGAAGACATGATATTAAAAATACCATATCTGGTTCCAGTAGGCAACACTTATATATTGACATAGAATATCATTACTATATAGAAAAATAAGAAGATGTGGTATGATTGCCAATGAGACAACTCTCCTCAAGAGACCTACTAACATAGATGTATGGATAGTCATTTTTCTGTACAGTTTATAAAATGCTGAATTATTCGAAACACTCGTTATTTATCTACCACAAAGCATAGATTACTTTAGTCATATTTGGATCAACGTTTTCGAATTTTCGTTTTGTTTAATTCTCTTCAACGTTGTATTTGATTTGGCCTTCAAACCTTTTTGTTCCCAGCAGTCACGTGATGAGTCTTATATCCTTTTTGTTCCCAGCAGTCACTGATCAGTTTTATATCCCGTTTGTTCCTAGCAGTCACTGATGAGTCTTATATCCTGTTTGTTCCCAGCAGTCACTGATGAGTCTTATATCCTGTTTGTTCCCAGCAGTCACTGATGAGTCTTATATCCTGTTTGTTCCCAGCAGTCACTGATGAGTCTTATATCCTGTTTGTTCCCAGCAGTCACTGATGAGTCTTATATCCTGTTTGTTCCCAGCAGTCACTGATGAGTCTTATATCCTGTTTGTTCCCAGCAGTCACTGATGAGTCTTATATCCTGTTTGTTCCCAGCAGTCACTGATGAGTCTTATATCCTGTTTGTTCCCAGTAGTCACTGATGAGTCTTATATCCTTTTTGTTCCCAGCAGTCACTGATGAGTCTTATATCCTGTTTGTTTCCAGCAGTCACTGATGAGTCTTATGTCCTTTTTGTTCCCAGCAGTCACTGGATATATCTAATTATAAGACTGGCATCTTATATGGAGTAGGACACAATAGGATATTTTTAGCTGATATAAATAAGAAGATGTGGTATGAGTGCCAATCAGACAACTATCCATCCAAGTCACAATGTGTAAAAATTAAACCATTATAGGTCAAAGTACGGCCTTCGACACGGAGCCTTGGCTCACATCAAACAGCAAGCTATAAAGGGCCCCAAAAAGACTAGTGTAAAACAATTCAAACAGGAAAACCAACGGTCTAATCAAGTCTGTATTCGCATCAAGTGCTCATTTTATAACAGAAGACGCAGGAGATCGACGCAAAAGACACTTACTCAGACGACACAATCTGTTTCGCTCCTTTAGCAATTAATGCAATGCCTTCAGTTTATTTCTAACGTTGTTGTAAATATAAAAAATAAACTAGATGTGGTATGATTGCCAATGAGACCACTATATATGATTGCCAAGAAGACCACTATGCATGATTGCCAATGAGACCATTATGTATAATTGCCAATGAGACCACTATGTATAATTGCCAATTAGACCACTATGTATAATTGTAAATAAAACCATTTTGTATGAATGCCAATGAGACCACTATGTATGATTGCCAATAACCACTATGTATGATTGCCAATTAGACCACTATGTATGATTGCCAATGAGACCACTTTATATGATTGCCAAAGAGACCACTTTATATGATTGCCAATGAGACCATTTTATATGATTGCCAATGAGACCACTATGTATGATTGCCAATGAGACCACTTTATATGACTGCCAATGAGACCACTATGTATGATTGCCAATGAGACCACTATGTATGATTGCCAAACAGACCACTATCAATAAGAGACGATGATTACGACTATAGGGCACTCACTATTCAGCTTTCACCTCACCCATACTGTATAGTAAACTATGCATGGCACCGTCATGGTATATTTAATCGGGATGTGCGAGTATTTTTTTTTTCAAAATCAGTTCATTCTACTGTCGGCTTTTATCAAACAGTATAATATCTTGTACCTTGTATCTTGCATAATTAAATCCAAATTTAGCTTTGGTCGGAAGGTTGGAATTATATTAATAATTGCAAGCTGTATTCATATGTTTCCAAATCGTTTCCTGTATAGCCAGTAGCTATACTTCGGAATTTCCAAGTACCAAATGCTTCCTTGGAAGTTTTAATGAGACACCTTATTAAGTCTCTACTTTGTGTAGTGCGGAGGCGTTAAAACTTGTAGATTATAGACAAACCATGAAACAATAGATTTATACGTGTAAACATATTGTCAACATAGCGGGGAAAGTTATACGACTTGCATACGCAGGGGACAAAAGATTATATACATGACGTTTTTCTAATTAAACACAATTTATATTTCATACGTTACTAGTTGATAATTTTTTTTGTGGTAAACACATTGCTTGTTTGTTTCAAAATAGTTTGTTTTATGTTTTTGTTGATATGGAAAATGACATTCGATTTATTTCAAAGTTAATGCTCTTGAATGTATGAAAGGGATTTCATAAAGTAAATTACGATATCTAAAATAAAAACAAAACAACAACGTTAAGTTACCATTACGGGTTTAATGGCAATTTTGGCAGTTATTATTTTCCAAGAAGTCAGTGCTTTGATATTGATACATTTTTATAATGATAAAAATGTCCACCTAATTTGATTTAAAGGGGCATTTGCTACGATTTAGACAAAAAATTAAAATACGATTTTGTTTGTTTCAAGTATTAATAAAAGCGGAATTTTGAAATAATATTTCGTTATAACGATTTGTTTGGCCCAACTTTGTCAAAACAAACTCAAAAACATCGCCCATGTACTTTTGACTTGCAAGTGTATAATTAGACCTCATGTGAATCCGTATTCATTTGAACTTAAATTAACCTCTTAGCTATAGAGATGGCTTACGCATGTGCTAGGAGTGTTCAGCTATCAATAGGATAAGAATGTCAATATTGAAAGTGAAACAATGCTGAACCATTTCGTTGACTGATTCGATCCGATTGGGAAAAAAAAAATATACAATGAGGCTGTTAGTTTTCTCGTTTGAATTGCTTTACATTTGCCCTTTAACTTAATATGTGGTCAGGTTTTGTTCATTGTTGAAGGCCGAACGGTGACCTATAGTTGTTAACCTTCTGCTTTATTTGGTCTCGTATTGGCAATCATGCCATATTTTCTCTATTTTTATTATGACATAATTAATAGATAAAAGGGGATATTAGATGACTACACATTGAGTTTACATTAAAATATTATCAAAATAACCTGATATCAAAGTTAAAAAAAGCAAAAGACACCAAGGAGGGTGAGGGAAATCATTCTTATACAGGTAAAAACGATGATTAAACTATAATATGAAATCAAACAGACCTACAAATACCCAATCGCACGTGGTCGCTATCTATTTATATTTATATTTATTTTATATCGGATTATATGACTATCGGCAGTCTTCGGATGTCATCTCGATGGTTAATTGGATGGCGTCTAGACTAAAATACAAACGAACTGCCGATATGTATTATCGAGTCCATGCATTGCTAATTGTTTATTTTAGACTTTTTGTAATTTGGATATACGTTTTAGTATGTTATAAATCAAATATGAGAATTTAAGTCAAATCGGTGAAAATGGATTTGACAGCTAATGCCCCTTTAATGAACACAATGTGTATTTTGAAAAGCCTAACGGCAGTGTTGCTCGATACAGGACATACACATTTCGAAAGCATAAATAGCTCTACAATAAATATATTTTATATTCAGATACAAAGCATAAAATAAAGGAGAAACAATACACTGTTTTTTTTCTAAATTTAGGACTCATCTGGCCTCCTAGTCATACGTTTTATACCCTTTTAACTTCCTGCTAAAATTGTAAAACTTTTCATTTTTTTTCAATCACACCTCTCAACTTGTTATAAAAACACATTTAAGAATTGACTAAATTACTAAAAGAAATATTCACAAAAGTTACAATGAATGACATGAATCAAACCCCATTTTATAATTTACCTTCGGGAAGAAACACATGCGTAGGACGTCGAATTTCAGCCAATGAATGACTCCGTCGATATAATTTTCTGCGGTCCTTTTCTTTGACTGGTTTCCCAATTGGTTCCTCGTACGATGAACGTCTCATTTCCTGTTCGTTCATCTCGGCCATCTCTGCCATGTAATCCTCTTCAATGGTTTCAGAATCGGAATAATCTAAAAAAATATACAATGAGGCTGTTAGTTTTCTCGTTTGAATTGCTTTACATTTGTCATTTCAGACCCTTTAGCTTGATATGTGGTAAGGTTTTGCTCATTGTTGAAGGCCGAACGGTGACCTATAGTTGTTAACCTTCAACTTTATTTGGTCTTTTGTGGAGTGATGTCGTATTGGCAATCATGCCATATCTTCTTTATTTTCATCATGACCTAAGTTATGGATAAAAGGGGATATTAGATGACTACACATCGAGTTTACAATTTAAGTTCTAAAAAAACCTTATATCAAGGTTAAAATGCAAAAAGATACCAAGGAGGGTGAGGGCAATCATAAACAACAATTGAAGATATACAGGCAACACCTTGGCCAGGGAAGAAAGATGAACAAACAAACAAACAAGACCGTTGGTTTTCCTGTTTGAATGGTTTTACACTAGTCATGTTTGGGGCCCTTCATAGCTTGCTGTTCGGTGTCTGCCAATGCTCCGTGTTGAAGACCGTACTTTGACCTATAATGGTTTACTTTTACAAATTGTGACTTGGATGGAGAGTTGTCTGATTGGCACTTATACTACATCTTCTTATATCTAAGAATCGACGAAACACGACATAGAAAACTTAACACTAGGTAATAGGAATTGAACATTAGTAAATTCAAAATTAAAAAAAATAAATAAAATAAAGGTTTTTAGTAATGCGAATAATGCGACTAGGTGAGTATCGCAACATTAAGAACTCGCATTTTGAATACAATACATGTATTTGTATGAAGATTATTCTTAAATCGCAATAATTAATCTCGCATTTTTATCCATTCTTAAAAAATCGCAATAATAAATGTACGCAATAATTTCTGAATTTACATTAGTTAAGACTTTGTCAGTTATTAGAAGTTAAAGTACTATCACCTTACTGATGACCATAGTAAAATCTTAGCCAATTTAAATAATGGTATTTATAATCACAATTAATTCAGAAAGATTTCCCGCCAATCATCCCAGTCTACCCATATTACAAGACCTACCAATTGTATTTATTGTTAATTTTTTCTTGTCCTTAACATGAATGAAATATTTGCCATCGAACGTAAAGCAAACACTAATCGCCGATAAATCGATAGTTTACTTTAGTTTCGAAATCGAGTGATTGTTGTACTCATTTATGTATTGCAATCGAATGATTGGTGTACTCATTTATGTTTTGCAATTGATTGATTGGTGTACTCGTTTATGTTTTGCAATCGAATGATTGGTATAATTATCTATGTTTACGCTACATGACTATATTATTCATAATTCATATCCAATATCTAATATAACAATACTAATCGGTTCTGTTTGAATAGAATTGAAAAGCAAATTTTAAATAGAATATTTAAGAAAACCTATGTCACCTCTGAAATAATTACATTTCTTCAATTGGAATTTCTAAAATGTTTTGAACAATATTTCAAAAATACGAATTTTACATCCGTCACAGCGAGGACATTTGATTAGAAACGATGAGGAATATTATCAATTCGCCGTATTAGAATCTAATGCATTCTGGGTAATATGTTCAAAAGTGTTCACCAAAACGTCATGATTGGTTTAAAAAGTCCTAAACAATGGAAATTCAACCAATGACGTGACGTTATTTTTATTTTGGGGTACGAATAATTAAATTACCCATAGTCCTTTTGATTCTGAAATGGCCAATTTGACGATAGGGAAATATTTCGGAGAATTGTGGATGTACTACGCGTTGCGTTATTTTAACCAACAAAATCAGGAACATAGTTTTATTTTCTAAATATCGAAAGCAAGTAACTTATTCCGTAAATGATATGTAATACGGGGTTATTTTTAAAAGTTTTACCCTTAGGCATTTTATAATTAAAATTATAAAAAAATAAAAACCATTATAGACGACAAAAAAATCACAGCAAAGTTAACCTCAAGACAGACAGGGTTATTTAAATATTGAGTTAGTAATGTCGTAAATATTTAGTTAGTAATGTCGTAAATTTTTAATCAACGACGATAAAATGTGAACTTAATTAAAACTTTTTATGTGATTCTTAGAGTAATTACGTAAAATTTATCCGGTTTACAGTAATCGATACGGCTTCGGGAACGACTTGAATTTCCGTTGCGTTTTCCAATTAGAAAGGTATATCACCGCTTATATTACAACTTAACTATCTGAAGAAAGAACAGATTGTAAACCAATTGTCAGTAACGACTGTTTTATAATTATAATCGTCGGCGACATGTTTTGAAGTATTGATTGATATTTCCTACATAAGCTCGCTTTATCTTAATATTGTGTGCCTTAATCTCCAAGAATACTAATTAGACACAAAACGATATTCATGTTCGAGATAAGATCTGAATTTAAAAATATAGATTCCAGACTTGAGAGTAAATTCTGACGGTAGCATTACAAAAAATCGTTACTATTTTTAAGCTTTCTACATTGTACAAATGGTTTTAACATTTAATGTGACTTAGTGCTATGAATAATGTATTCATTAAACCGCAAGATTAATGTTTCATTTGAATTAAAATGAATATATTTGTTTCGTTTTAATTAACAGATTTGCTTCACTAAATGTCAAACATAATACTATAGTATACAACATATATGATAAAATATACCTTATACATATTTAAAAAAAAATGAAAATCAAGTACTTTTTCATAAGCATTAATTATTTAAACAGATATAAATGTAAATAAACTCTATTTTTTCAAAAAATGAAAAAAAGTAATTTGAAATTATTCTTGTTCCCCCTTTTATATCAAAACGAACGCTTGCTGCTGATCAAAGCAATTTGTTCCGTGCTTTTTCCACTTGTCTGTTGTGTGTTTTAAGTATCTGCTGTTTATATAGATTCAATTTCGAAGCCGTATATTCAAATTTACAAATTCTCATTATTATTATTTTTATTTTTTATTTTTATTATCAGTGACTAAAAAAGAACAGAAGATTGCTATTGAATTTGGCTACATAACTATTTCTATTAAAAATAAACTGAATAGTGACTATGAAATTATTCCAAACGATTCTTTGAGCCAAAACTGTCTCAAAGTTTTCCATTCAAATTTTAATCCTTTATACTTGCAAAAAGTAAATCAATTTTATCTATTGCATTTACAACCGATCAACATTTATTTTTGTTTTGAAAAGATAACACGTCTTGAAAAAACAATCACGATATGAAAAATTCTACTTTACGTCTTTTCTTGTTTTCTGTACACTTGTCTCATTGTTTCTGCTTTTCCTGGTTTGTATATGAAGGCCTTGAATAGGATCTTCATTTCTTTATTGATTGAATTCTAACGCCATTTTTCTCTGTTCTTTATTTTCTTTGTGCATTAATCTCTAATTTTTTTAATGTTTTATCAACCCTTTTTTCTCTGTTCAATAATGTTTTGCCTGATTTTGCTCTATATCCATAACATTCTGATTTAAGATTCCCTTTTAACGAAGTCAAATTGGTATATTCAATCTGTTTAAGATAAATATGACAATAAAACCTGCAGTTTTGATTTGCAATTGCAAGCACTTTAAAACTGGCATATTGGATGACGTAAGTTGATACAAGAACCTAACATTAGACAAAATATGATTGTTGATATTAATGTCATAAAAGCAAATTTGTTTTAAGTTAATAAAAGAATAGACGCAAACACTGTCTCAGATTACTACTTTGCACTGTATTCAAATCGCAAGAGAGATATAGAGAAGATACAAATGAAGAGCTATGGAGTTAAGTATTATTATTGACAATGTTTCATCTATGTTAGCAGTGATGCTAAAAATAATAACTTTCTACTTTAAAAGTATAAATGAAAGTCATTCAGTTCATGATAAATCTAAATTTATCAAAGAAAATGCAGGAAATCGCGTACGAAACAGTGGGAATGTATCTAATGATATCCGCAACGACTCCATTTGATATTCCGTTAATGATTTAGTCAGGTTAAAGAACATTTTGGGTACATGTCAATAACATTAAATCGTGCCAACATCATAGACATATAATGGTCACAGCAACTGTATAGAACCTCCTGCAGTGTTCTTTACCATTCATTTTCCATTCCTATATATATATATATATATATATATTTATTTGATACACCAAAATACGACAGAAAATACACACAGATTGAGAAACCAATATTATTCTCCATTGTTGTTAGGGAGACTGTTTGAATTATCGGTTGTTCTCGGTCTTTGCATTTGATTGCAACTGATATCATTCCTGGTTATCATACAGGAGAGATAGAGAGGGGGGAGGTATGTGAAACTAGGGGATTTCTTTTTCCCCTGATTGGTAGACAAAGTAAATGAAAATTTACTAAAAAGTCCCTTCAAACTTACGCTGTTTTATTGCCAATAAATACGATAGAATGTTATACAAAAATGTAATTTTTTACAATAATGTAATTTTAAACAATAATGTAATTTTATACAATAATGTAGTTTCATACAATAATATAATTTTATACAATAATGTAGTTTTCTGCAATAATGTAATACTGCCAAGATGTCAACAATGATCTTAAATTAGTGTACTGATGAATCCTGTTTATGACTTTTGTGACGTTTTCTGAGAAGGATTTTGTGGACTGTTCTTTTCGTCATATTTTCTTATTTGACCATTACATTACATTGTCTTTTTTTCTTCAACTCAGGGTTTTTGAATTTTTCTAGGTATCTTCTCTCACTCCATTTTTGATAAAGTTTTATTACAAATATATTTCGATAATGTAAGCATAGCTTTGATAAACTTGTACTATAAAATAGAGTGACATTCGATACACAATTACTCTTTGCCGTAGAAAGTGCGACTGTTAATTACAAAATGACACCCCCCCCCCCCCCCCAAAAAAAAAAAGCAAAACAAAACAAAACAAAACAAAACAAAACAAAACAAACAAAACAAAACAAAAGGAAAAAACAAACCAAACAAAAACAACAAAGAAATCCTTAACTTTAGTTTTGAAAGA